AACAGAGATCAGGCCTGATTCTGCGAACACTGCGGTTTTGTGTGCAATGTATCAAGTGACAGTGACCTACTGACACTGCACTTACTGGGGGAGAAAGGGGGGGTAAGCATAGGGGCTAAACGCAGGTGTTGGCAGGTGCCGGGGCTGATCCCGCTAAGGCTGCATTTTTGGGGACGCTATACTAATGTGAACGCTGGTATAGTGCTGATCTGATCAAAAATATTGACCCGTTCAGACACTATACTAGCAATGGAGGTTTATTGTACATGAGTGTGCTCCTGGCAATCAAGGGGTTAAATGTGATGACTGGTGTACTGACAGGCAATCTGACGCTATCTGGGAGGGGCATGAAAACCACGAGAGCGCAAATCACATATATATATGTGATTTTGCGCACCCATGCCGCCCTGTAGTAGTATTTCTGCTATAGGGCGGTCAGGAATGCGGTTACAGAAGCGGTTTGTGTTACGTCGCTGCGTTATTTTAACTGACAATTGAGCGGTCATGCAACACTGAACTCAAATTAAATATACATCCTTTTTTCCCACAAATTGAGCTTTCTTTCGGTGGTATTTGAACACATGTGCGTTTTTTATTTTTTGCGCTATAAAAAAAAAGGCTGACAATTTTTAGAAAAAAAACAATATTTTGGACTTTTTGCTATAAAACATGTCCAGTAAAAAAATTTAAAAATCAAATTTAGTCATAAATTTCTGCCAATATGTATTCTGCGACATGTCTTTGCTTAAAAAAAATCCCAATACGTGTAAATTAATTGGTTTACGTGAAAGTTATAGCATCTACAAATGGTGGGAAAGATACTTGTTTTTTTTTAAATTATACTAATAATGGCGGCGATCAGCAACTTATGGCGGTGATCAGCGATTTATGACAGTGATCAGCGACTTATGGAGGGACTGTGGGACTGCGGCAGACATTTTGACACTGGGGGGGAACTGACTTGGGGTCACTGACATCCCCAGTGACACCAATACAGTGATCAGTGCAAAAAAAAAAAACACTGACACTGTACTAATGGCACTGGGGAGGAAGAGGTTAAAATTTTTTAGGTAATGAAAGGGTTAACTGTGTGAGGGGAGTGTTTTACTAGGGGGCGGGGGGGTGTGTACTTCACAGGAACACGCTGATCCCGAGAGATAAAGTCTTCTCTCAGGTTCAGCGTGCTCTGAACTGACAGATAGCAGAGCTGCAGTGTAAACACTGCAGCCGTGCTGTCAGTGATTACCAGTAATCGCCGGTAACCGGCGATGGACACCCGCTGCCACGATCAGCGGGACGGGTAGGGCGGGCAAGCGCCTCGCGCGCGCCCCCTTCCTGTTTTGCATAGCGACGTTAAAAGACGGCGCTGTGCGCAGCGGTACCGCCCTGCCACAGTAAAAACACTGCGGCAGGTCGGCAACTGGTTAAATTTTCAAATTTGTTTTATAGACATTATAGATGATAATGTGGTGTTCAAATAAAATAAACATAACTATCATTTCTGGTATATATATGTACATTCTCTTTACTCTTTTTTGTTGTTGCTTAGGTGGTCCCAGTGTCTACACTTGATGGGTTCTAATGTGATGTGGAAACTCCCCCCTCCTTTCAATTTTGAAGGGTTGCTTTGATGTGGTGGCATCTTGGCTATGATTTTTCAACATGTTTTAATCTCTCTGTGTTTCACTGATGTGTGAGTATTATATGATCACATACTTGGATTATCAGTATACCATTATGTTATGTATGTTCTAAAAAACATATCTTAAACTTTACTACAGATCATACTGTATTGTCTGCAGAGTTACCCCCGAAGAAGGAGCTGTTGTCTCTGAAATTCGTTGGGTACTCATTCAGAGTCTCTGAAAACACAAAGTATTTTGTATTGTAATTTTTGTATTGAGTTTATTATGTAAAAATACTGTATAGACATATTGGAATGTGTAATTTTTACAACTGTTAAGATACAATTATAATAAAGCATATTCTGTAATTTTTAATATTGTTTCAAATTTGTCTATAAAGTCCCATATAATGGGGGAAGTTTTCTTGTACACGTTCCAATATTAGGGATGTTGGAAAGTACATAAGGGAATTCCCTCTTCTTTTCTAAATCTTGTTCTGTCTTGTGTAGTGAAAATTAATCCCAAGTTTATTATACGTATATACATGGTACTGATCATTTATGCAAAGAAACTTAGAACATTTGACAAGACTCTCTTGCCCATAACAGGTTGTCTGCGTATGGGACAATCTAGAGTTTCCCAATACCATTATAATAGGCACTTCATAAACATTTACAAATTTTTGTTTTTTAACCCTCTGTTTTGCTAGATGAACTAAGGAGAGAAAGATCATAAATTCCAGGCCTGCAGCCTGACTGAAGCCATATTCAGGAGGTTAATTTTCAGGGTTTTCTAGAGGCATAGGTAGCAGGCAAATTGATTTGACTAAAGTTTAATAAAGCCATGGGTCCTGATGGTATCAATTCCAGAATTCTAAGAAAACTTTAAAGTATAGTTGTTGGACCAATACCTGATTTTTTAATCATTCTTTTCTAAAAGGAGAAGTTCTCTATGACTAGTGAACAGTTAATAATGTTCCTATCTACAAGAAGGGTAGTAAGGAAGAAGCTGGAAAGTACAGGTCAGTATATTTATACTCCTAAAAAGATGGATCAATGATCATTTATAAACAAACAACTGGATGGACCCAAAGCAGCATTGCTTAACTAAAGGAAGATCATGTCAAACTAATTTTGAAATATTTGACTATATCACAGATGTGCTATGGATATAGACTTAATTTCATCATAGCAATTGATATTGTTCAACATACTCTGATGATCTAATAGAAAGTTGTACAAGTATAACCTTTAGGTAGTTTAGTGGATATGCAGTTAAGGATACTTATAAATAGTTGTAAATGGGGTTAATTCAGGACAGAGAACAGTGAGGTACCACTAGGCTCTGTTCTAGGTTTTGTTCTATTTACTCTGTAACATAACTGAAGGTTTGGTGGGCAAGGGTGGTGTAGAACAGGGTTGATATTTCTTGGGGTGATAGTAGGATGGAATTGGATTTGGCATTGCTGGAAGATTGGTCAAAACAGTGCAAACTGCAGTTCAATGTTTCTAAATGCAAAAGAATGCACCTAATGAAAAGTTATATTCTGAGAGAGTGAACTAATGGGTTACAGTATTGGCCGAAACTACAAAGAAAAAAGATTTTGTTGTGCTTATTTCAGATGATTGTAAAATGAGCAAATAATGTGGTTAGACATCGAGGAAAGCAAAATAGATTTCTGGGGTGCATCACTAGAGAAATCACCAGCAGTAGGAAGGAGGTCATGATTCCTCTGTATTGATCTTTAGTTAGACTTATTAGAAGTATTTTATTGAAAGAGCAGCTGATGTTTGCAAAATTCTTCCAGTAGAGTTAGTAAGTCATTCAACAGTAAGTGAATTAAGTGAATTTAAACATGCTTGGAACAAACATAGATCTATACTTAGAAAAAAAGTAAAACATAAATAAGCAGATAAATAAATTAAGGGACAGACTTGGTGGATCACATTATCTTTTTCTTTTCTCCTCTTTTCTCACTCTTCTATGTTTCTGTGCTTCTATGTTTAAAGCAAACCTCCACAGACACTTATACTTTCAGTAATTTGTATTTCAAGGCATAAAAAACCATATGAAGTACATCTCTGCAATGCATGAACATATCCCTGTGCATTTCCCTTTAGAGACCCTGCATGTACAGAAAAATATCTGCTGATGTGCAATAAATTCAGCTCCTAACAGGTAAAATAATTTTCTAACCTTTTTATGTTCTTTACGTGATTTTATACACTTTCTAAAAAAAAAAAAAAATAAAGGGAAACGGAGTAAGGGTAGCTATACATGACTCATTTTTCTCTTGTTCAACTGTTTACTAACAGTTCTCCTCCCTGTCAGCTTGGACACACTGCTTTGGATGGCTGTGTACAGCACAGTGAATCACACAGACAATGCCCCATAGGAAAACACACCCAGCACACAGTTAACCCTTTGATCGCCCCTCATGTTAACCCCTTCCTACCCAGCACCATTAGTACAGTGTCAGTGCTTTTTTTTAGCACTGATCACTGTATTGGTGTCACTGGGGATGTCAGTGACACCAAGTCAGTTCCCCCCAGTGTCAGAATGTCCGCCGCAGTCCCGCTATAGGTCGCTGATCACCGCCATTACTAGTAAAAAATGAAAAAAACAAAATCCCAGTATATATACCGCCATTTGTAAATGCTATAACTTTCACGTAAACCAATTAATTTACATATATTGGGATTTTTTTTAGCAAACACATGTAGCAGAATACATTTTGGCCTAAATTTATGACTAACTTTGATTTTTTTAAATTTTTTTACTGGACATGTTTAATAGCAAAATAAATTGTCTTTTTTTTTTTTTAGCGCAAAAAATGCACAGGTGATCAAATACCACCGAAAGAAAGCTCAATTAGTGGGAAAAAAGGACATACATTAATTTGGGTGCAGCGTTGCATGACTGCGCAATTGTCAGTTAAAGTAATGCAGCGCCGTAATGCAAAAAATGGCCTGGTCAGGAAGGGGGGTAATTCCTCAGAAGGGCAAGTTGTTAATGTCCAATGTGAAATAAATCCATGACACACAATTGAACAATTAATTGCTTCTACTTCAAAGGAAAGTCTCTTCTTTAATAAAGTGCTCTGTGCTCTGCATACAATAAAGCAACTTTGTGCTTAGAAAAAAGTGATCCGTGCCCCCTCTTGTGTGCTCGCACTCACTGGATGAGATGGACTCCCTGCTATCAGCATAAGAGTCATGCAAGCTCTCTACTGGGTGGTGTACCTCTTTGCTCCACTCTGCTATGAACTCCACTCTCCTTCATACTTTTTTCTCCACTTTGAGCTCTAAGTAATTTAACTTGATCTGTTCTTTTAAAGTGTTAATAAACCCACAGCAGTAAAATCAGTCTGTATATGCAGTAAAGCATGCTTTTTATACTCACTATGGAACCTAAGGGGTTAATCCTCTGCATTGTAAAAATGTTGTTTGATCCTGACTTTTCTGATCCTCCCCTTCTTCCAGTGCCCCCCTCTTATCTCCTGATAAGACATATTAGATGGAGACACTCTGCACATGCTCAGTTTGGTGTGTATTGCTAGAGGGTTTTTTTTTCTTGGGAGAGTGCATGTGATCAGCACAGGGCCAATCAGCACTGTTCAGACAGAGATCAGGGGTTCTGCATCATCCTAGATCAAAATGAAAACTCCTCCTACAAGCTTTAACATGTGCTCTGCTGGACACTGATAGAAGTCACAAGACTACTCTAACTGCTGATGAGAAAAGGTATTTAGCAGTTTATATCTACTAAACTAATTGCACTTCCATGTTATGTGTACTGTAGGAGACCAGATATAGTGAATGCAGGGTCCTGGGTTTAGTAACACTTTTAGAACTGTCAACAAACCTTCCACTAAAAGTATATATATATGGTGCAGCTCTGCCAATACTGAACAAAAAAATGGAAAGTGTAAAGAAGATGAGCTACAATGCACCTCCCCCACTAAGGTGTGATCACTATGTGCAATCCTTCATTAGTTATGTGATAAGTATATGAACTTACACAATGAAAAAAAATAATGAAATGAAATGAATCATATGTATGCATATACTCCCCAATAAGTGTTATGGTGCTACAAAACACCTCCCACACATTAACCCTTAATATGCATAAATAATGAGAATAATGGAATATGTGATAAACCAATAATAAATACTGTGAACGAGTCCAAAAAAGTACAAAAACTCTTTGTGCTGAAAATATATCTACTGGGACTATAATGCCCCTTCCACCCCAAATAGGATCTATCTGCAGTCTTGGTGATATATTAGTGCATGGTGAACCACTCATGCTCTTCCTCCACATTCGCTCTCACTGCAATTATTTGACCCCTTATAATAAGCAGGTCAAAAACTGCTCAGGGTGATGCTCTCCTCTCCTTAAATTCCCAGTGTCACGCTGATAGAATTTCCTCCAATCAGATAATACACTGCTCAAAAAAATGAAATTAACAACATGTGCACTATATGGGCAACAATGAGATGACTTCCAAAACAGGAATGGTTTTACAGGTGGAAGCCACTGACATTTTTTTCCCTACAGATCTTTTGTGACTGTTTTTCACTAGTTTTACATTTAGCTATGGTCAGTATCACTACTGGCAGCATGAGGCGATACCTGGACCCAACAGAGGTTGCACAGCAAGTCCAACTCTACCAGGAAGGCACATCAATACCTGCCATTGCCAGAAGGTTTACTGTGTCTCCCAGCACAGTCTCAAGAGCATGGAGGAGATTCCAGGAGACAGGCAGTTACTCTAGGAGAGCTGGACAGGGCTGTAGAAGGTCCTTAACCCATCAGCAGAACCGGTATCTGCTCCTTTGTGCAAGGAGCAACAGGATGAGCACTACCAGAGCCTACAAAATGACCTTCAGCAGGCCACTGGTGTGAATGTCTCTGACCAATCAATCATAAACAGATTTCATGACAGTGGCCTGAGGGCCTGACATCCTCTAGTGGGCCCTGTGCTCCCTGCTCAGCACCACAGAGCTCGATTGGCATTTGCCATTGACGCCAGAATTGGCAGGTCTGCCACTGGCGCACCGTGCATTTCACAGATGAGAGCAGGTTCACCCTGAGCACGTTATAGATGTTAAAGGGTCTGGAGAAGACGTGGAGAATGTTATGCTGCCTGTAACATCATTCAGCATGACCGTTTTGGTGGTGGGTCAGTGATGGTCTGGGAAGGCATATCCATGGATGGATGCACAGACCTCTACAGGCTAGACAATGGCACCCTGACTGCCATTAGGTATCAGGATTAAATTTTTCAGTATAGGTCATGCTGCTCTGTGTGGGGGAGGGGCGTGAGCATGGCGCTCAGAAGCCGCAGGTGCTAGGAGCTCCAGACGCCTGCAGTATAATGTTGGACAATTAAGCTCTTACCTTCCCGAAATGTGCCCTGGCAGAGGAGATATGGTGTGCCTAGCCCAGAGTGCCCTGTACAGCTGAAGTCCTGGTGCAGAGGAGAGCCAGTGAGTTCCTGTGCAGCTGGAGGTGGAGAGAGCTCAGGTGGAGAAACGAAGGATCCCGGGAGTGCCCACGTGACCGATCAGGTGATGGTGGACGGTGCGGGGGAGAGACAGCACCATATTACAGTGAAGACCTGTGGAGTGGTAGTTTAAGTGCAGGGGGTCCCCCGAACACCAACAGCAGCACCCTGAGACCCTTGAAGATATACACCCAGCATACACTTGGTATCGGAAGCTTAGCCGAAAGACGTGGAACACAGGAGGAGTGGGTGAGTTGACGTGGGAGGTGGTAATTCCCCACTGTTACTGCTGCAGATACTGGAAGTAATGTGCAAATAATAGAAGCAATCAAATGGTCTCAGAGGTTGGTGGGACTGTGGAAAATTATAAAAATATCAAAAGGAAGATTATAATAAGAGAGGAGGGGGCACCCAAAAAGTATTAGACAAAGAGGAGAAAGAGTGGATACCAGAGAACTGTAACTCCCATAAAGAGAACTGAAAAGGGGCACAGGAGGAAAAAGATTAACCATATGCCCTCCTGAGGATTTACCCCCCCCCCCCCCCCTCTTCCTGACCAGGCCATTTTTTGCTGTTCGGCACTGCACTAAATCAACTGGTAATTGCGCGGTCATGAAATGCTGTACCCAAAGGAAATTTATGTCCTTTTTTCACATAAATAGAGCTTTCTTTTGGTGGTATTTGATCACCTCTGTGGTTTTTATTTTTTGTGCTATAAACAAAAAAAGACCAAAAATTTTGAAAAAAAACCAATATTTTTCACTTTTAGTTATAAAATATATCCAATAAACTCAAAGTTAGTCATAAATTTAGGCTAAAAAGTATTCTGCTACATGCCTTTGGTAAACAAAATCTCAATACACGTATATTAATTGGTTTGTGTGAGAAGTTATAGCATCTACAAACTATGATATATATATATTGGAATTTATGTAGGTTTTAGTTTCTGACTGCCTATCACATTTCTTGAGGTGCTAAAATGCCAGGGCAGTACAAACCCTCCCCCAAATGACCCTTTTTGGAAAGTAGACACCCCAAGGATTTTGCAGAGAGGCATGTTGAATCCATGGAACATTTGATTTTTTGCCACAAATGTGACAATTTTTTTTTTTTTTACACAAAGTTGTCACTTTAATGATATATTGCTCATGTATGCCATGGGTATGTGTAGAATAACACCCCAAAGCACATTCTCCTACTTCTCCTGAGTATGGGGATACCACATGTGAGAAACTTTTTTGGCAGCCTAGCTACATGCAAGACTACAAAATCCAATGACCATCTCCAGTCTTTCAAAGGGCATATTTCCTCATAGCACTTCCCCACTACCGATCACAGTTTTGGAGGCTCTAAAATGCCAGGATAGTACAAACACCCCCCCCCCCCAAATGACTCCTTTTTGGAAAGTAGAAACCCCAAGGAATTTGATAAGAGGCATGGTGAGTATTTTACAGATATCATTTTTGTCACAGGGTTTTGGAAAAAAAAAAATAGATAAGAAAAATTAATTTTTTTTGTTTTCTTTCTTCATTTTCCAAAAACGCATGGCAACAAATTAGATCTGCAAAACACTCACCATGCCTCTTAGCAATACTTTGGAGTGTCTGCTTTCCAAAAAGGGGTCATTTGGAGGGGTTGCTTCTACTATCCTGGCATTTCAGGGCCAACATTAGAAGCTTATGCTACACATTACCCACTCTTGAAGACCAAGCCTTTTCGGACACTTTTTGTTCACATGAAAAAACTGTTTTTTTGGTAGGAAATTACTTTGAACCACCAAAAATTATATATTTTTTAAAGCAGAGGCCCTGGAGAATAAAATGATGGGTGTTGAAATTTTTTACATCACACAGTATTTGCGCAGCGATTTTTCAAACGCAAATCTTAAGGGAAAAATACACTTTTTAGAATTGTAATGCACAAAACCACAATATATTGCCCATTTTTTGATAAAAATATAAAAGATGATGTTACTCTGAGTCAGTGTTTCTCAATTCCAGTCCTCATGGACCCCCAACAGGTCATGTTTTCAGGATTTCCATTATTTTGCACAGGTGATTTGATCAGTTTCACTGCCTTAGTAATTACCACAGCTGTTTCATCTGAGGGAAATCCTGAAAACATGACCTGTTGGGGGTCCATGAGGACTGGAGTTGAGAAACACTGCTCTGAGTAAATAGATACCAAACATGACATGCTTTAAAATTGCATGTGCCCGTGCAATGACAACAAAGTACATAAATTCTATATTATCAATAGGCAACGCTTTAAAAGCCTTTACAGGTCACCAATTTATATTTACACAGGAGGTCTCGTAGTAGAATTACTGCCTTTGATCTGACATTCGTGGTGATACCTCACATGCACGGTGCAACCAATGTTTACATACCACCACGGTAAGTACCTTTCATTTTTTTTTCTTGATCACTTTTAATGCTATCACAGGGAATGGAAATGAAAATATCCCCTATAACAGTGATGGCGAACCCGTGGCACGCGTGCCACAGCCGGCACGCCGAGCCTTATCTGTGGGCACGCCAGGAGAATACCGTATTTTTCGCTCCATAAGACGCACTTTTTTTCCCCCAAAAAAGGGGGGAAAATGTCAGTGCGTCTTATGGAGCGATTATAGAGCGGCCGGTCCGGTATTCCACCGCCGCCGTGTCAGAATACCGGGCCGGCCGCTCAGCTCTGCAGTGGGACCTTACCTGTCCCTCTATCCAGCGGCGCGCTGTCTTCCCGGCTTCTGTAGTGTGCATGACAGCCGGGTCCCAAGTGCGCATGCGCAAGAAGCAGTGCTCTTTGTGAATGGTAAGGCGGTACCTGGGACACATGACAGATCCCAGGAGCCGCCGGACCAATCACAAAGCGCAGCGCTTCTCGCGCATGCGCACTGGGCATCCGGCTGTCCGACGAGCGCCCACACTACAGAAGCCGGGAAGACAGCGCGCGGCTGGATAAAGGAACAGGTAAGATAAAAAAAAAAACTCTGCGGAAGTAAGAGCGGGTACCTGTCAAATTCAGGTACCCGCTCCCCCTCCCTCCCCAAAGGTCAGCAGTCATCTGTACTGTCCGCAGTCTCTGGTCATCCCTGTGCTGTCTGCAGTCTCTGGTCATCCCTGTGCTGTCCGCAGTCTCTGGTCATCCCTGTGCTGTCCGCAGTCTCTGGTCATCCCTGTGCTTTCCGCAGTCTCTGGTCATCCCTGTGCTGTCCGCAGTCTCTGGTCATCCCTGTGCTTTCCGCAGTCTCTGGTCATCCCTGTGCTGTCCGCAGTCTCTGGTCATCCCTGTACTGTGTCTGCAGTCTCTGGTCATCCCTGTACTATGTCCGCAGTCTCTGGTCATCTCCTGTACTGTCCGCAGTCTCTGGTCATCCCTGTACTGTCCGCAGTCTCTGGTCATCCCTGTACTGTGTCCGCAGTCTCTGGTCATCCCTGTACTGTCCGCAGTCTCTGGTCATCCCCTGTACTGTCCGCAGTCTCTGGTCATCTCCTGTACTGTGTCTGCAGTCTCTGGTCATCTCCTGTACTGTGTCCGCAGTCTCTGGTCATCTCCTGTACTGTGTCCGCAGTCTCTGGTCATCCCTGTACTGTGTCCGCAGTCTCTGGTCATCCCTGTACTGTGTCTGCAGTCTCTGGTCATCCCTGTGCTGTGTCTGCAGTCTCTGGTCATCCCTGTACTGTGTCTGCAGTCTCTGGTCATCCCCTGTACTATGTCTGCAGTCTCTGGTCATCCCTGTACTGTGTCTGCAGTCTCTGGTCATCCCTGTACCATGTCCGCAGTCTCTAGTCATCTCCTGTACTATGTCCGCAGTCTCTGGTCATCTCCTGTACTGTGTCAGCAGTCTCTGGTCATCCCTGTACTGTGTCCGAAGTCTCTGGTCATCCCTGTACTGTGTCCGCAGTCTCTGGTCATCCCTGTCTCTGGTATCCCTGTACTGTCTGCAGTCTCTGGTCATCCCTGTACTGTGTCGGCAGTCTCTGGTCATCCCTGTACTGTGTCCGCAGTCTCTGGTCATCCCTGTACTGTCCGCAGTCTCTGGTCATCCCTGTACTGTTAATTAGTTTGCACTACTGTATGAGTTGTTTTTTCTAAACCCAAAGCTCGATATTCAGGTTTCATTGCAGTGTTGGCACTTTGAAAGAAATAAGTTGGTTTTGGGTTGCAGTTTGGGCACTCGGGCTCAAAAAGGTTCGCCATCACTGCCCTATAACTTCAATGGGCATTGTCATATATTCTTTTTTGAGAAATCTAGAGTCTATCAGACTCTAGATATCTCCTCTGCCCTTACATTATCTAATCTCACCAAAATCGGTGTGATCAGATGCTTTCCTAATTTACAAATGGCGCTTTTTATATACTGCTAAACGGAAGTGATGAAATGCTCGTAGTTTCCAATTTCTTAGACTATAGAGATGATTGGAGCCATTCTGGTCTCCGACCAGCTCTATGGTCAGTCAGTGGAACTGCCGGCTGAATTCTCGGATTCCCCTGTGGGACAGGAGAGCCCAAGAAAACTGTCGAAAGGCAGCAGGGTGGGGGGGGGGGGGGGGGGGGAATGTCCCTTCCCGCTGCTCGTAAAAACAATTCAGCAGCTAATTGGCAACTAGGATTGTTTTTACATGAAAGCCGACCGCAATTTAAAAAAAACTATACCGGAATGATGCCTGTAGCTGCAGGCATCATCCCAGTATAACTACTCAAAGTTCAACAATGTACCAGTACATTGCTGGTCCATGTTGAGCATATATGTAACAGCAGAGAACATGGGCATACAAAAAATTGGCTCCGTGGATCAATATGACCACAATTCATTCTTTTCTGTAATGCCCATGTTGAGGCTTAGGCCCTAAAGAGTTATAAATTCAGAAGCCGTGATAAGTTTCCATGCGAATTGTCTGGCAAGAGCTGAATATGGATGGGCGGCCATGTATTGTTGTGTGTATAAATTGCCTTGGCCCATAATCAGTTGATACAAATCTTCTGTCAAAAACAGCGGAGGGGCTAAATTCTAGTGCTGGCAGCAAACGGGGCCGATCCTGCTAACTCTGCGTTTTTGTGGACACTATACAAAGGAGGCACTAGTATAGTTCTGTTGATCTGTACAAATATTGAGCTAGTAATAGCGGTGATCAGCGACCTATAGCGTGAGTGCGATAGTGTGCGGGCAATCTAATGCTAGCTGACCCTGGCTGGGAGGGACGCTTACTGACCCTGACGATATCTGATGTCGCAGGAATACAGTGATCAGTGAAAAATTATATATATACTGACACTGTTCTAATGGCATTGGCTGGGTGACTGGGTTAATAGGGGCGATCAAAGGTTTAAATGTGCTAATCTAACGCATGCGTGTAAAATGTAGTGGTGCTTTTACTCGGTGCTGTGTTCTCTCTTCTCTGCCTGGACCAACGGGTGGGGGGGGCAGTGGGGGGAGGGGTGCAGGTGCATTCACACCCCAAATAGGAAGCGACACATGATTACGTCGCCTTGTCAAGAGCTGCTGCTCACTCGCAAAAAGCGGTTGGCAAGTAGTTAAAAAAAAAACTCTTATAAGAAAAAAAAATTCTCAATATGGTATTTTTTTTTTTTTTTTACATTTTTTTATTATTATTATTTTTTATTATTTTAATACTTTTATCAGAATAGTACGTTACCATAGTAACATTGTACTACTGTATGGGATCAGGGATTTTTTTTTTTTTGCTTTGCAGAAGAAATAAAGATAATTTATCCTGCAATGCAAAGCTTGCTGTCAGAACCTAACTCATTCATGAACTGTCATGAATGGCTTACGTTTTGACAGCTCAGGATCTGTGATTGGCTGCAGCTGGTCACATGGTACAGGGTGCTGTAATTAACCCCATGTATCATGTGACAGCTGTGGGTCAATTACAGCTCACTAGGAAAAGAAGCAGGGCTGTTATGAATGACATTGATTTATAACAGCTTTGCTTACATAATGATCACGTGATCGAATAGCGATCACATGATCACCGGGTCCCGTTCACCGGGATTTTCATTCCTCTGTGTCCCCTGGACACAGCAGTCATGGGGGTGGCACGCTGCGCCCCCTTGTGTTAGCACAACCAGAGCGACATATGGGTACATCGCTTTGCCTGTAGCTGCCGCCCAGCAGCAGTACATTGTGGGCAGGCGGGAAAAAATTAAAAGTCTGATCAGTATCCCGGTACTGGAAACATAAATAATATCCTGCCTGAAGTTAAAAAAAAACTACCACATAATCTAAACAAGATGAACAGCAGATCGTTCAAAAGAGGAGGTACAAAAACTCCTCAACCAAGTTTAGATACAAGTACAATTAAGAAGTATATACCTTCACAGGAGAAACTCCCTGAGAGACAATGAGAGGTAAATCGTAGCGGAGACCATGCTAGACTATTCTATGGGGTCATGGATAAGATCCAGACCAAAGAAGCCGCAGATTCGGAAAATGAAATAGGATAAAGAAATATGGAAGAGCAGGAGGCGAGATTGCAAATGCCCACAAAATCGGAAATTGCAGAAATGTTTGTAAAACTAGAAACCTCCATAAAGAGTGAAATAGCAGCACTACACAGTGTTATGGGACAAGTTTTAGCACAAGTAGAAAAAACAGCTCAGGTAATCAAAAAAGTAGAAGTGCAAATGGAAGAAATTACTGTTTAACCCAATAATAGGGGGAGAGCAGAGACTGAACAACTAAAAAATAGACAGTGTGCATAGGATAAAGGAGGTTCCAAAGAGCAACATTAGACACCCCAAAGAATGTGATAGTACATTTCCATCATTATGAGGATAAAGAAATTATCTGGAAGAAGCTGAGCGTGATACCAGAGATAGAATATGGAGAAATAGAGTTGCAGATTATTGCAGACATTGCACCAGAGACACTTGCAAAAAGAAGATCCCTGGGACCATTGCTAGAACAGATGAGAGAAAAACATGTCCGCTATAACTGGGGATTCCCTGCATGTTTGATCGGGTGGAAGGACGGTAAATCGGCAACACTGAGATTTCCAGAAGACATGAGAGACTTTTGCAAAAGACATTATAGGGTGTCTGGGTAGTCTGGGGGGGGGGGGGGGGGAATGAAGTATTAGGAAAAGGGAAATGACGAGTCTCTAAAAAGAGATAGTAATAGCAATAATAACAAAGGGGGGGGGGTGTCACAGGGTGGTGGGGTGGGAAGGGGAGAGGTAAGGAGACAGTGCTGAATATTCGGCCTCATATCCTTTGTTTTTTGTTTTTTTCTTTTCTTTTTCTCTCCTCGCCCCCCCCCCCCCCTCACTCATTTTTCACAGCTCTTATTGTGAAGAAACCCTTCCGTGTTTGGAGATTACATTTCTTTTCCTCCAGACGTAAAGAGTGCCCCCTTGTCCTCTGTGATGACCTCAGGGTGAATAACTCTACACCAAGTTCACTATATGAACCACTGATGTCATTTATACATGTTGACCATATTCCCCCCTTAATCTCCTCTTCTCAAGAGAGAATAAATTCAGTTCCTCTAATCTTTCCTCATAGCTGAGCTCCTCCATGCCTCTTATCAGTTTGGTTGCCCTTCTCTGTACTGTCTCCAGTTCCTCAACGTTCTTTTTGTGAATTGGTGCCCAAAATTGAACTGCATATTTCAGATGAGGTATTACTAACGATTTGTTCCTTCAAGAGACACATATAACTCAAGATACAAATGAGAAGCTATACTCTAAATATTTTCCAACCTTGTATTATGCAGATTCACCGATAAGAAGGGCGAAAGGAGTAGCAATTGGGTTTGGGAGAAATATAAGATTTACGGCGGAGGAAAGTCTGGTATACCCAAAGGGTAGGTATCTATTTTTGAAAGGAAATCTGCAGGGTATGGAGTGTACTTTGGTAAATATATATTGACCCAATAAAAAATCCAATTAAATATCTTGAAGGGATATTGAGAAATCATACAGAATTTAAGAGAGGATTTCTAATTGTGGCAAGAGACTTTAATTTTTGCATGTATCCAGAGATGGACGCAACATCGTGTGCAGGAGGCAGGAGTCTAAAGCATTTTTAAATGAATCAGTGTCAATTGACAGATGTATGGAGAGTTTAACATCCAAGGGAAAGAGACTACACCTTCTTCTCCATGGCACACAGGATGTATTCGCATTTGGATTACATAGTGATTAAAGATAGATTTTTGGAGTCTCTGGTGAAAGCAAATATAGATTATGTTCCTGTTACAATGAGATTACGGCTTCGAAATAATCAGCATAAAATGAATATATGGCGATTAAATGAGACACTTCTACAAGACCCTGAAACGGAAATAAGACTGAAAGAGGAAATCGAATAATATTTTAGGCCAAATGAGACTGAGGGAGTCTTTGCTGCTACAGTGTGGGAAGCACATAAGACCTACATTAGAGGAATCCTGATCTCAATCGATAGGGGCAGAAAAAAAGAAAGAACAGGGCAAGAAAAATAAGGATAATAATGGAAGAATTATATAAGTGGGAACAATCGCATAAAAAAAAAATATTTTCTACATTAGATGAATGGCTGTACTATCACCTAAGACGTTTTTGTTGCAGCTCTTCCACAACCATTGAGGACAGAGGAGGATATGTACCTTTTAGAGCATATGTTTAGTTTAAACAAAATACAAAAAACATGCAACTTCAAAGATTTATAAGATTCTTACTGAATTATCTGGATCAGAATCTCAAGGATTCATAGATAAATGGGAAAATGAACTTGGAATAAAATTGAATGAGCAAAAAAAAACCCCAAAACGTTCAGATTAACACACGGTTGGTGAATATGAATATAGTTGAAATGAATTATAAATATCTAGTAAGATGATACATTACAACTAATATTGCACGTAAGCAAAAACCAGAGGCATCACCCCTCTGTTGGCGTGGGATTAAGGGGGAACAATGGCACATATTTGGTGGTTTTACCCCAAAATACAGGAGTATTAGTGGGGAATAATTCAATATATACAGGAGATACTGAGGGTTAGTATACCGTTGGATCCGTGGACCTGTCTTTTTTATATATCGGAGACATCTGTGAAGCAATATAAGAACACGATATTGTGCCATTTAATAAACGTGGCCAAAGGCCTTATTCCCAAATTCTGGCAAGCAATAGAGCCCCCTAAAATTAAAGATTGGAAAATTAGAGTCCAGTATATACATAAGATGGAGGAACTATATCATATGGATGAGGGTAGAGTTGAAAAATGTAAAAAATCTTGAGGAAGTTGGCATGGTTTTAAAAAATCAAAAAGATATTTAGAAGTAGTTGGAGTGTAAGAAAGAAATAAAAGTAAAAGAAATAAGAATATGGAGTTGGATAAGAGAGAAGGAAAAAAATAATAAGAGGGTTGAGATGTTAACAAGGAAAAGAGTAGAAGAACAAGCAGTAAAGGAAAAAATAAGAAATTTGTGTTTTATGATGATTGTTATAAAGTGGATTTTGTATAAAAAAAAAAACTAATAAAGATGTAATAAAAAAAAAAGAAATCCTTCAGTATAGATATCCAGCGGGATATTTTTCCTCATTGAGATCTGATGTGTTTTCAAAGTGTTCCTTTAATTTTTCTGAGCAGTGTACTTCCCTAATATTGGATAAAATCCTCTCTCTCTTCCTCAGCACGGACCAAGCAGTATTATAAGAGGGAAACTCCCACAATGTCATACCATTTATTAAATGTCATAAAACCAATGTATTGTACTTACAGATACAAAGAAACAATGGCACTTTAAGACTAAACTAACTGGAGGAAAGGATTATAGGGTCCACATATTCAGAGAAGGATTGTTTTCCATTTTGGTCTATTACAGTAAGCTAAAAAACAACAGACTTGTTGGCTGTATCACCAGGAAAAAAAGAAGAAAACTAAAGCAGACACCACATATAAACATCATATTATCCTGTAACCAGTACAACCTGTGATTAAACAAGCACAATCAGCACTCAAGTCCACAAGGAATAATCCCTAAAGTTCACAAAGCAGGTGGATGGATGGCTGGAAAGGTGGATAAGAGAAACACACTCTGTCCAGAAGCTCCTAGCCAGTGGATCTGGGTAATCCCTCACGAGCATACAAAAGAAACAGAGAAGGGTACCAGATTGATGTTTGGTTAAAAACAGTTTAATTCCATTTCTCACTTACATCACCTGCTGTAGAGGGCACAACACGTTTCCGAGGCCCTGACTCTTTTTTCAACCCTTTATAAGACTCTATAATAACTGAGAGTCTAACTTAGAATCATTACTTCAGCATCACAGTTCAGTATACAAACGACTTACTCCTCATAAACAGCATCCCTCTTAGTGAAGTCCTTGGTAGCTATGGTAATACAGGCAATCAGTCAACCTTCCTGGCAGTATTCCCGAGTGTAGCTCGGGGTAAACTTTCAGTACTAAAAGCAGTAACCCTGAGCTAGACTCGGGATTACCCTGCAGCATTGCTCCGGGATCCCTGTTTCACTTACCTTGTCCTGCGCTCCCCCCCGCGATGTCCCCCCTGCAATGTCCCCGGCTATTGCAGGAAATTCAAATATTTTTGTCCTGTGCCCTGTGCCCTGTGCCCTGCCTGCATTTTTACTGTTCTTACTGCCTGGAAACTGAGAAACGTCCATGGCGTCCAAAAAGCGTCTTTAGGTCAAAAGCGGTTTTAGACCAGAGAACAGCGATAGTGAATTAGAACCACTTGCAGAATTGAGTGATAATGATTTGTGGGGAAATTTGTCATC